TCCCGCTGCCGAGCCTGGAGTGGTGGGATGCAGGATGCTCTGGGTATCCTGGTGGAGCTGCCCCGGGCTGCTGGGCATGGTGGAGTTGGCAGCTCCAGAACCCTTGGGTTTGGCTTCAGAAAGTGGGTGCTGGCACTGTCTAGCTGTCCCGGGAGTCACATCTGGCCGGAGGCAGAGTCCCGGGAGGTGGCACTGCCTTGTCGCCATTCCCGGTTCTCTCCGTATCCCGCAGGTCGATTTGCAGAGCATCACCTTTGCGGAGCAGCGCAGTGCTGCCCGTGCTCCTGGGCCAGGCTGGCCCCAGCAAAAAAGGGGGAGCGCCCACAACCGCTGCCTCCCGCGCGGGAGAGCAGGATCCCCTGCCCTTGATGGGGGGCCCAGGCCATAAATGCACCTTTACATCTCGCCCGTGAGGTCAGACGAGTCCACAAGGAAAACATGTGCTGCGAGCGAGAGGGGCCGCATAATGGCTCCATTCAGCAGGGCCGCAGGGCGCTGGTGCCCCCTCCTCAAATTACAGCCGGAGTTTCCTAAGGAGGCATTTCACGAGGCAGAGCAGCTCCCGCCCGTGCTGTTCCCCGGCAGGGGAGGATGCGGGAGCCCTCCCTCCTCAGCCGCCTCTGACCCGCCCAGCAGCGCTGCCACCGCGTCCTGGGATGGTACAGGGAGCCTGAGTAGTGTCCCCCTCCCTGTTCCCAGCATCCTGCCCCACGTGCTGGGGATGGGGTGCCTGGGTGCTCCCCCGTGCACAGGGACTCTCCCATCCCTGCTGGATGGAGGTGGGGAAGATGCTTCAGCGTGGGTGCTGAAGTGCAAGAGGCACTGCCTGTTGAGTGGGACAGTGTCCATGGGATGGGCAGGGGTTGGTGTCCATCCTGATGTGGGAACAGAGCCTGAAGGCAGCCTGGGAGATGGGGGTGGTGGGGAGGGGATAGTCCATAGGAAGCTCAGGTGGTGCTTGCATCATTTCCCACCCCTCACCCTTCAGAAAATTCTTCCCTCCTCACCCACTGTGCTGCTCCCCTGGGCATGCAGGACACCCCATGTCACCATCCAAACCCACCCTGCTGGTCCCTGTGCTGTGGGTCCTGCCCTGTGCCTAGGGCTAGGGGCAGTAGGGTTGAAGGTGGCCTGGGGAGGAGGGCCCAGTGTCCCCCACCTGAGCCTGGTGAAGCTGCTGGTTGGACTCTTCACTCCGTGAAGCACATCCAGATATCCCATGAAGTTGCCACTGTAGGTTTCAAGGGGCTCAGGGGGAGGATTCTACCTCAGCCCATCCTGTGACCTCCTAGGACCTGGCTCATGTGTAGCAAATTCAAGAACTATTTAGGGCAGCAGAAAAGGGCATATTTAGGGCTATTTGAAGTACTAAATTCAACTTGTCCCTAAATTTGAAGCTCTTTTATTATCAGTGACCCTCTCCAAAAGTGCTGGTGGGGTTGCAACCTGGTGCCAGCCTAGTCACTGCTGTATCCCTGTCCTGCTCTCCCTAAAACACTCTTTTGCTTATCTTTGGGATTTACTTACTTTTATTTTCTTTCTCTGCCTGAAGGGTTTTGTTTATGTACCTGATCCTACTCCTGCCTGCCCTGGGGATGTCTGTCTACCTGCATCCCAAGGCTGGGATCAGGGCATCAGCTGGGGGTTCCCAAGTGCCTGGAGTGCCACACAGGGGGAGCTGAGTGGCACTGAGGGATGGGTGACAGGGAGAAAGAAGGAGATCAGTGCTAGAGTGATGCTTGGGAGAAGCAGAAAGGTGAGAATGGAGGAGCACTGGGGATGAGGAAATACCAGTGATGCTCTGGGTGTCAGGGATATTCTGGGTGTCCACGGAGCTCCTCTGCAGCTCTGTCTGGTGGCTGAGGGCAGGGAGGTCTCACTTGGGACCACAGGCAGCAGCTCCCACCCAAGCCCCAGGATCTCACTCCTGCTTTTTGGGGTGTGAGCCTCATTGCTCAGGGGTGCTGTGTTGGTCTGGAAGAGAAGTCATCCCTCCTGCCTCAGGAGCCCTCTCCTTAGCCATCAGTAAAGAGGATGTGTTTCAGGAACCAATGTAGGATACTAATCCACAAGGAAAATATTCTGCCTCTGTGGAAACCATGGAAACCTCAGGGATCATTTGCAGAGGTCTCACTGAAGCTCAGCATGAGCAGGATGTGGCCATGGGCTGGGAACAAGGCTAGTGTGGAGTGCTCATCCCTGCAGGTGACAGCTCTGCCCACATCCCACTCCTCCTCCTCATCAGCCAAGCTCCCAAGCACTGGCCACAGCTTGGAGGCAGCTTTTGGTTCTTTTTTCCAGCATTTGTAGGGTTTTGAAGGAAAGACAAAGAAATAGAAGATGTGGACACCGTGGATGTCTTGCAGGGATCCTCATGGGTTGGGACTGAGCTTTTAAACACATCTTCCAGTTACATTTTCCAGTGCTCATGAGGCACATGGAGCAAACCCTCTGTGGAGGAGCTGAGGCCATGAAACATCCTTTAGCCCCACACCCTGATGGGTGCAGGTTACCTACAGTCAGAACTGCTCCTCTGTGGGGCTGGCTGTGCTCAGGAACCAGTCCCTGTGCCATAGTGGAAGCATTGATTACCCAGTGCCGCATCCAGGCTGCCTCCCCCTGCCATGGGAGTGAGTTTGTTTGCTGTCAAAACCTCTGATAAATGAGGTGGGGGCTGGGCAGGGTGTGGGATGCCATCAGCAGGCATGGGGGAAGGAGATTAGTTATCAGGGTAAAGATAAGCTCAAATCCTTCATCCAGGGAGGTGGTGGCTGGGCTGGGTCCTGGCTGGTGGTGGTCATGGTGCTGCTCACCTTCTCCCACAGAAGTGTTTTTCCCTCCTGCTTCCTATTCCAGTGGCTCTCACCTTCCCACCATCAGCCTGGAGCTTTCATCAGGGATGATGCTTTTTGGCACACCCCAGTGATGCCCATTTTGCTGGCTGAGCTGTTGGAGGGAGGAGGTTTCCCCAGCAGAGGAGTTTCCTCTTGAAAACCTGTGCTGGTTTCATCTAAAACCCACCCAACTGCATTTCTAAAGGGTGGAGAGATGAAAGCAACCCCAGGTGGGACAGTGGAGGCTTTGGCTGAGCTGTGGGTGGGTAAGAGCACGACAGACCATTCTCCATCCCATCCCAGCTGATAAAGCTTTATGGGGAGGGCAGCCTGAAGCCTGTTGAAGAGAACAACCTTGACTCCAACCCACCTTGTCCTTGGGGAGGTGATTTGGTATTGACCCCCCTGTTCCATTAACCCTGTGTGTCCCCTTGCATGCCCAGCAGGAGCAGAGCCCCCACTCGAGCCTAGGGGTCCCCCCGTGGGGGGTGTACACTGCCATCACAGCATCTTGCAACTGCTTCCACAGGCTGCAGAGATGGAGCTATTTTGGGCTCCAGCTGCAAGGCATTTTTTCCAGGCCTTGAATCATTTTTGTGGTTCTTTTCTGCCTCCTGTCCAATTTTTCCCCGTCCACCCCAAAAAGGGAGACACGATGCTCCTGGCTCAGCTGTGTGGGTGCTGCCCACCCAGGGGTTGGTGGTGGGAGCTGTGTCTAGCCCCCCAGTCCCCCAGTTTGGCTGGGGGGCTGCTGGCAGCTCCCTCCCCGGCCCCAGGCCGAGGCGGTCTGGCAGCCAGACGTGGTCCTGTGACTGCGCTGGGTTTCGAGTGAATACTTCCTCGCTGTCTCCTCCTCTTCTGCATTTGTTACATAGAAAGAGGAAAAGGAAAAAAAAAAGAAAAAGCCAAATGCATTCCAGGCTGCTTCTCCACACCAGCCTGGGTGAAGCTTTCCTTGACTGCAGCATCCAGTGGGGCTGTTTGTGACCCTCCAGCATCGCTCCTGGCATCACCCAGGCCCAGATCACCCCAAGGATGAGTGGGTGGCTCTGGGGATGAGCAGAGTTCTTCAAACAGGGAATTCTGTGCAATTATGTCTCGGGTAGTGCATTCCCCACACCCAAACATTTGCTTGTGGGGCCGTTGTCCAAGTGTGGGTGAGGTGTCTCCACATGTCCCATCCAGTTTGTTAGGACCTGCAGTGACAGAACAAGGAGGAATGAGGAGAAATTGCAAGAGGGGAAGTTAGATTAGGCATTAGGCAGAAGTTTTCTCTGTGAGAGTTGTGAGACACTGGCACAAGTTGCTCAGGGAGGCTGTGGCTGCCCCAACTCCGACAGTGTTCAAAGCCAGGTTGGATCAAGCCTTGAGCAATGTGGTCTGGTGGGAAGTGTCACTGCCCAGGACAGGGGGTTGGGGCTGGATGATCTCTAATCTCCATTCCAACTCCTTAACATACTCTGAACCTAACCCAGCAGGGTGCTAAGCATCCCTGGCTGAGCCTCTGAGTGGGTCTGAGCCCTCATATCGGTCAAGCTTGTGCCAAAACCATCTTGCCTGATGATCCCTGGAGGTGGTGACACTCCAGGACACTCAGGATTCAGGGACACATCCCAGCTGCCTGCAGCTGGCACCCCCTGCTCCTACATGAGGACATCCCTGGGAGCTGGCTGTGCTCCAGCTCTTTTGGCCAGGTGCTTCCAGTCTGCCTTTGGGATGCTGTCCCCATGCCACCAAGCAGCAAGCCTAGGCTTCAGGTCTTGCTTTCCCCTGGGACATTGAGAATCTTGCCTTTTTCTCCAGATTTTGGGGGAGTGTTTGGATTGGGTTTTTTACTATGGTTACAAACATGACTTTTGCTGTTTCATGACTTGATTAATGGGAGGAACTGGTCCTGTCCTTGCCCCTGGTGTTAGCTCAGTGGCTGGTGTGGCATCTGAGGCAGCACCCACAGGAGCTCCCCAGCAGATCCATACTCCCTGTGTGCTGAAGGAAGAGCCAAAAGCTCTCCTTGCCCCGTGGAGGTGCAGCAGCCCCTGGCAGGACCTTTTATCGTCATGGCATCAGCACTTCTAAGGGTTTTTTGGGAAGGACTAGGACTTTCTGAACATCCTAACTATTTGTGGTGGTTTTTTTCCCCCCTGCAGCTCCTTGGTGCTCACATGCTGCCCAGGATGGAGGCAACAAGGAAGCGAGTGTTTAATAGGTAAACACCAGTGTTTTGCTTGGCTGGACACTGCCCATCCTTTGCTGAGCCCTCCTGACGTGTCAGGGGCCACCCTGATGTGTCCTTCAGCTGGGACCCCCTGTCCTGGGGACCTGCAGTTTGAGTCCTGCTCCCTGAGGTGCTCCAAGACAGCAGCATGTGGATGGAATGGGCACTCAGCCCCAGTGTTGTGGGTCACAGAGCTGGGGAGGGTTTCACTCCATGCCTAAGGATTTGAGGGTGCTGCTCTGGGACTCAAGGGACAGTGAGTTTACTCCTGGGGGAAGTGTGGGGACAGGAAAAGTACAGCTGCAGGAATGGGACCAAGATTCAGCATGGAGAGCTGAACCAGAACCACCAGTGGAGGAGAAGCCAAACCAAACACGTGTCCATCGTGGGCCGATGAGGGAGAGGCTGCTAGGACAGGCAGGGAACCCTGAGCCTGGGCTGGAACCACACAAGGTGTCACACCTCTTACTAGGGGCCACAGCAAGCCCGGCATGGATAATCAGCATGAAACCCTGGCAGCATCATCCCCTGCATTGCCACCACGATGAACGTGGCTAGTTTGGGGTTCCCCCATGGTCTCAGCTTTCCATGGGGCTCAGCATACCCCAGGAGAGCTGGAGGTGGCAGTTTTCAGCTGGCAGCAAAGCTCACATAACCAACTAACCCACTGTGCATGAGCCCTGTAACCACTCACTGCTTGTATTGGGAATGGGATGTGGTCCCTTAGGAAGGGAGAAGGACAGGGCCTGGGAGGACAGTCCCACAGCAAGCTGTCTCCATCTCCTGCCCCCCCAACCTGCTCTAACCACTAGACTCACTGCTCCTAACCTGTGTAATCTGTCTATTTTAGGAGTTTCTATAATATCCATCATCGTAGGTCTAACAACTCCCAGGTAAGGTGGCTGGGATGGGTGGTTGGCTCTCCCTCTCCCAGTGCCTAAGGAAGCTTGTCCAGGGCTGTGTGGGATCTGTGAGCACTCTGTCCCTGCTGCCTGTCCCATGTCCTGTGCCCACCTGGCTCTGGACATCTGCCTCAGCATGTTGTCCCCTCGGCAGGAGAGGGGCTGGTGGCCTTTGGGGGCTGGTGGCTGAAGGTGGCGTGGCAGTGGCACCTCTGTGGTCAGCAAGGAGTGCAAAGAAGACTGTGCTTATGGCTGCCTACAACCTCTCCCCCCCATGTCCCCTCCTCTCCTGGATCTGTCTCTACCAGCAATGCAGAGCTGAGCGAGGGACAATGCCATTGGGTGCAGCTGGTGGTGGGGACAGGGCTTGGCTGGGTGGCAGGAGGCTGGTGGCCAGAATGGAGCTGCTCTGGGTGGCAGGGATGGGGCTAAACAGGGTGGCAGGATGCTGGTGGCAGAGCTGGAGTTGAGCTGGAGTTGAGCAGGAGGCTGGTGGCATTTCTCTAGCAATGGACCCATCCAGCTCACCCAGCTGCTTTGCCAGGATGGTCACAATGCCACAGCTCAGCCCTTCTGCTGCTCTGTGGGGCTTTGATGGGGTTTGGGGGAGCAGGGGCAAGTGTGGTGGCACTCATGCTCATGCCTGCTGTTTGTCCATCCATGCAGCTGTGTGCGAGGGGAACTTCACCTGCAAGGAGAACGAGGTGTGTGTCAGGCCGGGCGAGTGCCGCTGCCGCCACGGCTACTTCGGTGCCAACTGCGACACCAGTGAGTACTGCCAGGTGCCCACATGTCCCCAGTGGGGTGTTCCTGGCTCATCCTCGGGTGGCATTGCAGAGCAGACCATCAGGGATGGGACTGTGGATGCTCTTGCTTGTTCTCTGGTATGATCCACAAGGCATTGTCCCTTTGGTGGGGTCTCTTCTGAGATCCTGTGCACCACGGGGAGGAGGAGGAGTAGGACTGTGGTCCAGAGGTCCTGTTGGGACTGTGGTCCAGAGGTCCTGCTGGGACTGAGGGTCTCTACTGGTGCCTGTTGGTGGAGTTGTCCTACTGGGCAGTGCTAGTGCTGACAGCTCTCCCCACAGAGTGTCCCAGGCAGTTCTGGGGTCCCGACTGCAAGGAGATGTGCAGCTGCCACCCCAATGGGCAGTGTGAAGATGTGACGGGGCAGTGCACCTGCAACCTCAACCGCTGGGGCCCCAAGTGTGAGAACATCTGCCTCTGCAAGCATGGCAAGTGTGACCAGAAGACAGGCAAATGCACCTGTGAGCCCAACTGGTGGGGCCCACAGTGCTCCAGCTCCTGCTACTGCAGCCACAACTCCCAGTGTGACCAGCAGACGGGCAACTGCCTGTGCCAGCCTGGCTGGTGGGGCCGTGGCTGCAACAACCAGTGTTCCTGCAACAACTCCCCCTGCGAGCAGTTCACTGGGCGCTGCCAGTGCAGGGAGAGAACCTTTGGGCCACGCTGTGATCGCTACTGCCAGTGCTACAAGGGCAAGTGCAACCAGGTGGATGGCACCTGTACCTGCGAGCCAGGCTACCGGGGCAAGTACTGCCGCGAGCCCTGCCCCGCCGGCTTCTACGGGCAGGGCAGGTGAGTGTCTGGACCCTGCTGAGGCTGAGCCAGCACTGCTGGGAGGTGGCAGCAGGAGGGTTTGGGGATGTGCTGTGTGATGGTTCCCCTTGGGTGTTGCAGGTGTGGGCAGTGCAAGAGCCTGCAGCCGTGCACCGTGGCAGATGGGCGCTGCCTTACGTGTGAGGCAGGTTGGAATGGCACCAAGTGTGACCAGCCTTGCTCACCTGGCTTCTATGGAGAGGGCTGTGAGAAGCTCTGTCCCCCCTGCAAGGATGGCCACACATGCAACCACATCAATGGCAAGTGCTCCCACTGCAACCCAGGCTGGATTGGAGACCGGTGAGTGCAGCTGGGTGCAATGCTGGGTCGCTGTGGAGCGATGCCCATCCTCCCTGGTACTCTCTGCCCAGAGGGGCTGGGGGCTTTTGCAGCCCAGGAACCAATCCTAGGCACAAGAGTCTCATCCCAGCTCGAGAGCTGAGCTCAGAAAGCACCCAGCATTACCTGAGGCACAGTGAAGGGGTCTCCAGGCTGTCCCCAGTCCCATGGCTGTGCCAGCAGGCTTAGTCCCTCCCTGCACACTTTTCCTGGCTTCACAAACCCCAGGCCACCACGATGACATACAGCCCGTCTCTCTGCCTGTGGGTGGGTGCTGGAGGTCCCCAAGTGCCATGGGTGCTCAGCCACCTGCCCTCATCCCTCCCCAGGTGTGAGACCAAGTGCCGGAATGGGACATATGGAGAGAACTGTGCCTTCGTCTGCAGTGACTGTGTCAATGGGCAGTGCCACTTCGAGACCGGCCAGTGCCTCTGCCACCCTGGCTCCCACGGCACCTAGTAAGTGAGGCATGGTGGGCACATTTTGGGGGCTCCCTGGGGCACAGGTGATGCTTAGGCACCTCCTGCCCCCTTGTATCATACTACATTAAGGGGTTGGAGTGGAGCTTAGAGGTCATCCAGTCCCACCCCTCTTCCCTGGGCAGGGACACCTCCCACCAGAACAGGTTGCTCAAGGGTTGTTCCAACCTGGCTTTGAACACTGCCAGGGTTGGGGCAGCCACAGTCTCCCTGGGCAACCTGTGCCTGTGTCTTACTAGTCTCACATTAAAAAACTTGATAGAATCATAGAATTTTAGAGGTTAGAATGGACCCTACAGACCATCTTACTGCCAACCCCCCTGCCATGGGCAGGGACACCTCCCCATCAGAGCAGGTTGCTCAAGGCCTCATCCATCCTGGTCTCTTCCTAAGATCTCATATTCCTCTCTCAGTTTATCCTGATTCCTCCTTGTCCTGTCCCTGCAGTTCCTACCCAAGAGTCCCTCTGCAGCTTCCCTGGAGCCCCTTCAGCTCCTGGCAGGTTGCTCTGAGGTCTCCACACAACCTTCTTTTCTCCAGGCTGAGCAGCCCCAACTCTCCCAGCCTGTCCTCGTAGGGAAGGTGCTCCAGTGTTCTGAGCAGCTTTGTGGCCTCCTCTGGCCTTGCTGCAACACTTCCATGTCCTTCTGGTGTTGGAAACACCAGAACTGTGTGCAGGACTCCAGGTGGGGCCTCAAGAGCAGAGTAGAGGTGAAGAATCACCTCCCTCAACCTGCTGGCCTTGGGTCCTATATGGTTGCCAGCCGAGAGGTTTTCTGTGGTGGAAGTGCTCGTGGGTGATAATTTGGATGATCTGGGGAGCAGAGAGGGAGACATGTGCTCATGGAGCTGTTAGCAGCAAGGTGGCACTGCCAGAGGCATTCTGCTTTAGAAAATGCCTCTTCGGTAAAAACAAATTGTGGTTTGTTGGGTTTTCTTTAAGACCAGGTGGAATTTCTAGTCAAAAAAAGAGAGAGAACCACATCCCAGAATAACAAACAGCCTCACGGGCATGGCATCTGCACAGCACTCTTGCTGCAAGCTGTGCCTCTGGCTGGGGCCTTCCCCAGGCCTCCCTCTTCCTCCTGTCCAGGGAAAGGGCACAAGTACCATCGAGGTCATGCTTACACCCGTGAGTGTTTTTTCCCAGTGTGGGACTGAAATGTTGTTTGAAAAGATGAGGAAAGCATTTCCCACCCAGCTGTGACATGCAGACAGCTTCTCCAGGCCCTGCCAGGTGGTGCTCAGTTTGTCTCAGTGAGGGTGATGGCAAGGACAAGCATTCACAGCTGGCATCCTGCCCATGCCAGCATTTTGGCCAGGGCATAAAATGAGGGAGTATTTGCATTTTAGATGGGGTTTTGTGAGGCTTCACCAACAACTTGTGCTGCTGGAAGAGCCTCTGGACACCAGCACCAGCTCAGGGTGCCTGACCTGGGCATCACAGCCACCTTTGGTGCCAGAGGTGGAGGTGAGAGGATCCCAGTGCTCACCAGGGGGGTGTGGTGACACTTTTGGCACAGTGACAGAGGGGAGCACGTGGATTAAACTGTTCTGAGACCCCAGAACAGCAGCAGGACTGTGGGGATGGGGAATCTCAGGATGCAGCCCAGCCCCAGCAGCATCGCAGTGCCATAACCACAAGCTTAGCTGTGCCATGTGGTGCACTCCAGGAAGGCTCAGGGACATTCCCAGTGCTCAGGCAGATCCCTGTGACTATGTGCAAACTAGTATTTTTGTCAGCAGTGTATAATTTAGTTAAAAAGGGGATTTCTGGAAGGAAGGCAGAAGCAATGTCCTTGCCATGTGTCCTCTCAGCTCTGTGTCAGGAGGATGCCAAAGGAACGGCTGCTAAAATATTTGTGTGCACACAAAGTGCATTATCTCCTCCCTGTCATTCCCAGAGGGGTCAGGAACCTGCTGGAATAAAATCACTCCCCTCTGCTCTCCCAAAAGCTCAGCCCGGCACAGAAATGTGGAGCCAAGTGGGAGGATGAGAGGTTTTGGGCTGGTGGGGGAATATCCCTGCTCCTATCCTGCTATGTTTGCTGCCCAGCTGTTGAAGTAGACCTAGGGGCTCAGTGCCCTTCACAGCTGGCACACAGCAGGCACACGACAGGCACAAGACAGGCACAAGGCTTGGCCAAAGCAGCACTTTGCAAGTCATCAAAGTGTGAAATGGGTTGAGCCACCTCCGGGCACTGTGCCAAGGGCTGGGGGCAGCTGCACCCTGTGGGGAGCAGGTTTGGGCTGGGGCCTGCTGGTGTCTTCCAGCTGCAGCTGCTCCAGCCAGGGGATGCAGCTGGTGGAGAGTTTGGTGCCCAGCAGTGCTCTTGGCATCCTCCAGATCCATCTGAGTGCTGCTCTGCAGTGCTTGAACCGCGGCTGGTGAGGCAGCTGGGTTCAGTCCCACTGACACCAAGAGCCCCAAGTGCTTTGGTGTGTGTTTTCCATGCTCAAGCCCTTGATGCTCATGGATTGGGGACCATTCATGCATGTCCCCATCACCTCGGTGACACCATTGGGGAGGTCATTTTACCCGTGATAGAGACTTCATACCAGGCACAGCCAAACTAAGAGTGTCCACTCTGACAGAGTGGGTGCTTTGGGTCTGCTCTGTTGTTTTGCCTTCTTGGAGGCCAAATACAAATTACAAAAGGACTAGTCTGGGCACCTTCCCAGCTCGTGATCACTGTGTCTCTGCCCAGCTTGGCATGGGGAGCCCCAGGGGGTGCCATGGCCACGTCACCACTGAGCTGAGCTAGAATCCCTGTGTGTGAGCCCAGGGTGTCTTTAGATGTGACTGCTGGGTTAACGACCCTTCCTCATTACCTCGGCTAATTGTAGAGTCTCCTGCTGGGAGCAGTGAGAGTGTCTGAGCTCCAGCTGGGCCAAATCCCCCGCGGCAATGGGCAAAGCCAGTGGGTGGACATAGGCTCCCTGTGGATTATAGGGTGTGGGAAGGCTGGGTCAGGGCAAGCTGGGGAAGTGGCTCTGCTTTTCCCAGGAGCATGGAAGGTTTGGGAGATGGGAGCAGCTGTGCCCAGGCTGGGGGATGCACTGCTCTCATCCAGCCTACTCCCTCCAGCTGTAACCTGACGTGCCCTCCTGGCTGGTATGGAGCCAACTGTGCCGAAGCCTGCAGCTGCCACGACGGTGCCTGTGACCCCCTGACGGGTGCCTGCCACATGGGTGAGTGCCAGAGGGCACAGCCAGGGTGCCAGTCTCTGCTCTGGGCTGGCACTGGGCTGAGCTGTGCATCTGCCTTGCAGAGGCCAACCAAAGGATGGGGGTGATCGGGGCAGGAGCTCTCCTGGCACTGCTGCTCATCCTTCTGCTCTCCTTGCTCTGCTGCTGCTGCGTCTGCCGCAAGAAGGATGAAGCCTGTGGGTGAGTGGCAGGGATGGGAGGGATCTCACTGGGATGGGAGTGTGGAGGACCAGTGGGGGGCTGGGATAGTGGTGCTGTGGGGAAACTGAGGCAGAGCAGCACTGCCAGCACAGTGTCATAGACTCGATGATCTTAGAGGTCTCTTCCAACTTTGATGATTCTATGTGAGTCCCCAGGGGCTGAGCAGGTCCCACTGCATCCTCAGGGCTGATGGAGGAGCTCGGGCTAAGCCCTGCCTAGGGAACCTCTTCCTGCTCTCCCTGACTTTGTGTTTCCCCTTTGTGGGCCATCAATTCGTGGAGACCCACCAAATCTCCTTCAGTCTCCTCAGGGCTGGAGCTGACTGACTGCAAGGGGAACTCTAAACTACAACAAGGACATTGAGACATGACTGAGACCCCCAAAACAAGCCCCTGGGCCATGGGATGAGACCTGGGGGTCATGCAGCTGTCCCACATGGGGACATTCAGGGCAGGGAGGGTGAGTTGCTGCATCAAGATTGGAGTGCCAGCAGCATTTTGACAGCACCAGGTAACATCCCACCACAGGGACAGGGATGGGGACAGCCCTATGGCAGGGGGTGAAAGTTTGTGCTGCTCAGCAGGGGAGGAATGGCTGTGGGAGCTCCTTTCCCCTCCTGCTGCCAGCCACTGCCTAGGAATTTTCCAGAAGCCTCCCCTTGCAGCCCTGCCAGCTCAATCCCAGCCCAGCACATCTGGCCTGGAGAGCCTGGGGGCTGTGGGTAATTATCCCGCAGATAAAGCACAAACACAGCTCCACGGGGTGAGGTATGGCATAGGGAAAGGGGAAATGGCTCCAGTTTCCTCTCTCTCAGGATGCTCAGACCACAATACCCCTGGGTGACCCACAGTGCCATCCCAGCACAGTCCCTTGCCAGAGCATCCCAAGGGACCATGGTGGGCACAGTGCAGGTTCCCTTGTGTCAACACACGAAGCCACTCGCTCCTGTGGCTGCAGATAATTGCTTGAAAACTTGGCCCCAGGAGGCTTCAAAACCAGAGAGCAAATAGAGAGAAGCCATGTGTTTGGCTTTGGGTTGGGATGATTTGATGTTTTTTAGAGATTCAGCATCTTGTGGGTGTTTTGGGGCTGAGCTGCCAATGGCCATGGCTGGATCTGACCTTGCCACCATCCCCTGGCTCTGCTTTGCATCCTGGTGTGGCATGAGCTGGTGCCCAGAGCTGGCAGCAGCCCCAGTGGGTTTAGGAATGGTATTCCCCAATTTAGTGTTCCCAGACTCACTCACTCCCCCACCCACTCCCCCTGCGGCAGGATGGAGGCCACTGGAGGCACAAAAGGTGAAGATCACGGGTTGAGATAAGAACGATTTACTAAGAAACAGCAATGAAGTAAGAAAATTAACAGTAACAACAACTACATTAATAACAGAGTGCACAAAACAAGCAAACGACTCACACTCAGTCCCCAACTCCCCGTGCCCTGTGCACCCTTTGCTTTGATCCTCCGATTATCATTCCCAAACCCTTAGCACTTGCAGCATCCCTGAGCTGCTTTTCTCTGTCACCTGTGAAGAGTGTCCCCACCTCGGGGAGGGGAATGGTACCTCTGTGACAGTGCCATTACCTCCTTTTGCAGCTCCAGCCAGGACCCAGCAGCAGCCAAGAAGCCTCCGAGACGCTTGTGTGGGAGATTCAGTCGGATCGGGATGAAGCTCCCGCGCATCCCCCTGCGCCGCCAGAAGCTGCCCAAGGTCGTGGGTAAGTCTCTGGGGATTGGGAAGGGGGCAGAGAGCCAGGCCCTAAGGGGTTTGCTCCTGTCAGGGGAGTGCGTGTGGCTCACAGCATCCTTTGCAGCCCCAGAGCAGAGCAGTGAGCAGGGCAGAGCGGTGACAGAGACACATGGGGCTCACTCAGCCCTTTCTGTCTGCAGCTTCTGGATCTCCAAGCACATCATTTTGCTTTGGAAGGGTGGCGAACCTGGTGCTGTAGCTGTGCTGAGAGGTTTTGGGAGGGTTTTAGGGTCTCCAGGAGAGGAATTGTTCCTGTCACTCAGCAAAATGCCCTTTGGTCCCAGCTAACCCTGCCCCAGCTTCGCCTGGAGCCAGAGCATCCCAGGGGGATACCCACACTGCTGCTGTGTGCCCCAGTACGGAGGGGCAGAGATTTGGGATGAGCTCCCCACACTGCCCAGGCAGAGAATGGGCTGGTAGGGGGCTGCTTTCACCTGGCAAAGCCCCTGATCTGGCAGTGTCAGGGCTTTTGGGGACCTCTCCTCCAGGCAGCTGGGGGATGCTGTCCCCTGCACTCCAGACCCTCCTTGCACTCTTCCCAGTGTGAGGAGCTGAGGATCTGCTGCAACCCTGCTGGATAAACTTGGGGTGAAGGCAGCACTCCCCACCCTGCCCTGGAATGGTGTTCAGTATATATAATTCCTGAGCCCAGTATCAAACTGGCCATGCCATGCTAGTGGGATGCCCTGAGCAGCCACATCCTAGCACACTGTGGCTTGGCATGAGGCCAAATCCTCCATCCCAGGTGGGACACAGAGGTGACCCCCACCATCTCTGAATGCCATGCTCAAGCTCCAGCATCGAAGTGGGAGGAGACAAGCCCTCTCCACTTGGGGCACAGCAAAGCCCTGGCTGGAGTAGGGTGTGCTGGGGCCCTCTAAAAAGCTGCAAGGAGAGGATCATAGAGGCTGTGTTTGTGGAAGGGGCCAGGAAAGGCTCAGGGAGGACAGAGGGTGCCTGTGTGTAGTGAGGGCAGGGGGGCTCAGGGGGGGGCTGCCAGCTGGCACTTGTCCAGCCACGCTGTGTACACAGGGCAGCAGCAGCCCTGGGAAAGGCTGAGGATGTTCAGGATGGTCACAGGTCCTGGCAGAGCTGGAGCTGTTCCTGGAGCCTGGTGTGGAGCTGGGGGTTGTTATTTCACTGGAGGGAAATGCTTTGCTCAGGGCTTGCCTTGTGTTGTCTGGCACAGTGGAGCCAGTATGGGTTCCAGCAGCTCCCAATCACACCAGTGCATGGTCCAGCATTGCCTCCAGTCCTTGCTGAGTTTGGGGACCGCCTGGATAAGGGAGACCTGCTGGAGCTGCATGTGATGCCCTGTGACCACGGTGTCTTGTTAGCATGTGGCTCCACCTGGATGCCCCAGTGGCCAGTACCTGGTGGCAGAGGCCACCCGTTCCCTGCCTTGGTCTTGCCCCAACAGGAGGGTCCAGGGGACGCTGAAATGCCCCATCTGAAGTCCCAGGTCAGTGCTGGAGGTGCTCAGGACCCCTGAGAGATGTCACATTGAAACCAGTGCTGGATGATGCCTGGTTGATGATTGCTCTGGATCTGCTCACGTCCTTGGCCATGTGTTTACTGGTGGGTTTTCCCCCCTGGGCTCAAACAAGCCTACATGTTGTAGAACCTTCCCAGGTGGGACAGTAGATCTTGAAGCCCCACCAAAGCTCTATGGGTGCCTGGAGCCCCAGGTGCCCCCCTCAAAAGCTGCTCCCCAGCCTTGGCTCCAGCTTCAGATCCACAGCATCTCCCTGGGGATCACACCTGAGCTGACAGCCTGCAGGGTCACATCCTGGGCTGACACCAGTGGCTGCAGTACCAGGGTTTGGGCATCTCTGTGTGTGGCATCTGCTCCTTGGGGTGTCAGTGTGGGTCTCAGTCATGTGTCACCCCATGGATGCCAGTGCTAACCTAAGCTCTGCACTTCACCACCACATGTCCTGTCCAAGCAGCAAAGCTCAGCCAGCTCAGAGGGTAATGCCAGCCATGGGGAGCTTGGGATAAGTGGGAGGGGGTGGCCATAAGTGCTCCAGGATCCCCTTCCCATGGCCCTTCTGCTGCTCCTCACTGTTCATCCCAGTCTTGAGACTGATAGGCCACTATCAAGCAGGGCTGGGCTTGGCACCCTGATGCTGTGGCCCCAGGAGATTTCGGGAAGCAGTGGCAGGAGGGGATGTAGTATAGTCTCAGAGTATGTTAAGGGGTTGGGATGGAGCTTAGAGTTCATCCAGCCCCAAACCCCTGCCCTAGGCAGGGACACCTCCCACCAGAGCAGGTTGCTCAAGGCTTTAGCCAACCTGGCTGTGAACACTGCCAGGGTTGGGGTAGCCACAGCCTCCCTGGGCAATGTGGGAAACATCCCCCTTTCTCCCAGCTCTACCAGCCCAGGGGAGATAAATCCCTGGGACCCATGCTGGAGCTCCTGAGCCTCTGAGTGTGCTGCAGATCCTCATTTTATCCTTTGGCTGTATCCTGAGTCTCATTGGAGTCCTGGAGATGCCTCGTGGCCACTCATCATGCCTCCCCTCAGGAAGTATCTCCCTTCATCCCCTTCCAGCCTTCTGCTTTTAATTTTCCCTTCTTGGTTTTTATTAGAAGGAAAGCCATGTTGGAACTGCTGCTTCCCCCTCCCTGAGCCATTTGCTCTTTAAATATCACTGCTTAGGCTTTTTTTCCTTACTCCAAGAAGCCAAACTGCACTGTGCTGCCATCAGTTTAGTGGCCCTGCATGCCTGAAGCCAAATTCCCTAATCAAGGATAAACATTCCAGTGGGCATCCCAATAACACTGTAAGTTACTCTCTTGTAAAACAGGGATGTGGTGTGAGAATCAAACAGTCTGAGCAGGAAAATACAGTGTAACTGGGATGCAATTGGGATTGGAATGCAGTTGGGATGTGTGGGCAGAGGGTAGAAATCCCTGGAAATATTGATGTACAGTTGAGATCCTGCCTGTGCATGGGGTTTTCATAGCGTCACAGAATAACCTGAGCTGGAAGGGACACACAAGGATCATCAGTCCAGCTCCTGTCCAGGACACCCTAACAATCCACCCTGTGCCTGAGAGCACTGGTCAAACACTCCTTGAGCTCTGTCAGGCTTGGGGCTGTGACCACTGCCCTGGGTGAGCTAGCTGTTCCAGTGCCCAAACACCCTCTGGGACAACCCTTTTGCAGCCCTTGCTCCAAATCAAGGCTCTGCCTGGACTTGGAGGCAGATTGTCACCATCCCAGAGGACAAAAGCCAGTGGGATGGAGATGGGAACAAGAGCATATGGTGTTGCATCTGGCCCCTCCTCCCGGCTGGGTGCTGCCACAGTCCTGTGGGTACTCAGGGATGATGCTGAAGCTGTGGGCACCTGGAGAAGCCCCACATAGTTTGTTGGGACATGAACTCAACCAGGAAAAAGCCTTTAAAATGATCAAACAGTAAGAAAGTTCCATTCAGCCCAGATAACTCTCACTGCTCAGCTTCTTTATTTCTTTTTGTAACCATTGAAGCTGAAAATATTTTAAACACAGGTTTTCCTCTGATGGTTTGTCCCTTCCTGTCAGCTCTTCTGCAGCTAGCCCCATGATAAAAAGGCAGTGCTGGGGTGAAGTGGGGGTGCTCCTCCTCAGCTTTGGGATAGGAGAAGCTAGCAAAGGAATAGAAAAGTGGCAGAATTGGGGAAGAAACAGTGATGTGCATCTCCCTGCCACTGCAGACATCCTTTTACCATCCTTCTGCTCCCTTGTGCAGAAGCAGTAGGAAAAGGAAAATGCAGTCAGTGATGTTCAAGTGGGAATTAGTGGAATTTAATTAAATTAATGGGAATTAGTGGCTAATTCTCTTCCCTGGGAATGGGATGGTCACAGCACCAGGACTTCCTTTGTGAGGTGGCTGTGCCAGATTGCTCAGCTCAGGGGTGACTGCCAGAACACTCACCAGGTCCTTGTGGGACCCAGGGGTTTGAGTGTCTTGTCCCTCTGCCACATGTAGCCTCGATTTGGGCAGCTGGAGACCTGCCATGGAGAGGGGGATAGATGGAGGTGTGAGGTTTGTATGGACTCTGCTGTCCACAGCCACTCATTCCTGAGCACGGGGGATGATGTCACCACCACTGCTGGTTGATGGCTGCTGTGGGCAGTTGGCTGAGGGATCTGGTGGGAATGAGTGGAAAGAGTTGTTCCCATGCCTTGGATGCTGTCCCTGTCCCCAACACCCACTGGGAAGTTGGACAGTGTGGAGCTGTGCAGCATCCCTCCCTCCTGGCTGGCAGGGAGGCTGGGGAGCTCAGCAGGACCGGCACTAACAGCAGTTCTCATCCCTCACAGTGGCCCACCATGACCTGGAAAACACCCTGAACTGCAGCTTCATTGAGCCACCCTCCGTGGTGGAGCAGCCATCCCCATCCTGGTCATCTCGTGGCTCCTTCTCCTCTTTTGACACCACAGACGAGGGGCCAGTGTACTGTGTTCCCCACGAAGGTGAGCAGGGGGACAGGGTGAATCCTCAGGGGCTTTGGGGATATTACCAAGGGCCTGAGCAAGGGAGAGGTGTCACCCTTGCATGGTGAGGACCACATGTGGGGCTCCTGGTGCCCCAGGAAGGGATGTGGGTGCTGATGTTGCCTCCCTTGCAGTTTCAGAGCACTCTCCTCTGGCATTTGCTGCTCTGGGAATGTAAACCCTCTTGTGCTGGGGTCCCTGACTGGGAGGTGGAAACGAGGGGACCTGGGAACACACTGGGCTGTGGGGGGACCCAGGTGGGATGCCATCCCACCGTCCTGCAGGAGCATCTCGGTCCTTCCCCTCCCCGGGCATATCCTGACACCCCTGTGCTTTCTTTCTCTTCCCGCAGAGAGCGTGGGTGACAGCAGGGA